TATATATACTGTATATAGCAAACAGAATTTGTAAAAATGCAAGCCTGGTTTAAACTTAATAAATTGTCATTAAATTTGGATAAAACTAATTATATGATATTTAGTAATAAAAAGAGAAAAGTTGATGTTCCATTTAGAGTTGTTGGTGTTGAGATTTGTAGAGTCAGTGAGGTGAAGTTTTTGGGTGTCATTATTGATGAAAAGCTGACATGGGAATCTCACATAAATCATTTAAAAACAAAAATAGCCAAATCCTTTGCAGTATTGTACAAAGAAAGGGACTTTTTTAATGATAAAGTACTGTTTATATTATATAATGCAATAACTGTTCCACACTTGATTTACTTTGTTGAAGTCTGGGGTAAAGCGTGCAAAACAATCACAAATCCTACTTTTTTTTTTAATTTTACAGAAAAGAGCCGTTTAATATTAATTATCACCAGAAAACATTACTGTCACCCACTGAATATTTAATTTTCTAAATTGAAATTATTAAAATTTTATGAGTTGGTTGATTATAATATCTTGCAGATTAAGACTCATAAAAAAAATTGCCTTTAAACATCCAGTTACATTTTGTTAAGAGAGAAAGTTTATATAATCTTAAGGGACTTGGGATGTTTATAAAACCTAAAATTCAAACAAATTTGAAGAACCGATGTCCTTCAAGGTATAAGATTGTGGAATAATCTGGAAAGTGATTATAAAAATGTTGGTTCAATGTGTTTGTTTAAGAGAATGATAATAAGTTTGATAAAGAAATATGAAATTGTATCATGTATATCAAAAGTTGTTGTTTGAAAAGAAAGTGAAGTTTTTATTTTGTTTTGTTTCTTGATTATTATTGTTTTAAATTAATTTTGGAAAAAAGGGGCAGATATTATAAGATTTTTTTTCTTCTTTCTGCCACCTTTCATTTTAAGTGTGATTTTTTTTTCTCTTTGTTGTGTATAAACTTTTTATTTTTATTTTTGAATGAATGAATGAATGAATGAATAGAAAGAAAAACATCACTTAATGAAAAGCGAGAAATAAGAGCTGGTGAAGGGTAAAGAGGTAGTAACAAACAGGACACTGTTCTTTTTGTACATTTGTCCTCATTCTTATTACCCTTCTTTCCTTTATTTTGTAACTTTGCTGACCTAAAAAGCAGCAGAGGACAAAAACATTTAAAGCGGAGGGGGCACAAGTAACAAATAAATGACATTTAGTTGTAATATAATTTATCACATGGCATGGCGGCACAGTTGGTAGAGCTGTCGCCTCTCAGCAAGAAGTTTGAATCCCAGCTGGGGACCTTTCTGGGTGGAGTTTGCATGTTCTCCTTTGCATGTGGTTGTTTGTCTCGATGTGGTCCTGTGGTGGACTTGTGACCTGTCCAAGTGTACCTTGCACAGTGACTGCTGGATATGGGCACAAGTGACCCCCAACAACTCAGACAGGGTTATCACTTTAAAGCATTTCTACCTGAACATTGAACCTTTGCTTCTTTACCTGAAAATATTCAACTTAGTGCACTAAATCTCCAGATATATCCTAGAACTGAAAATCCTTTYTGAAAAGCTTTTTAGTATTTTTCAAGTCATTGAACTCACAAAGCAACATAGCTGTTCCAGTTAACCTTTCAGAGATGTTTTCAGATGAACATCAAACAAACAAACAAACAAAAAATGCTATTAAAGCCCCTGTAAACAATCTACCATTCAGCAAACAATTTTGTTAATAGCTGGTAAACATTTTGAAGCACTGAGCAGCTATGAGCCAGATATTCCCCACGGGAATTGATGAAGGCCAAAACACAGAGTGAATATTGAGCTTGGCTGTACATTCATCACGTGGCTACAAACACCACATAAAATTAGGTCTAATGTGATTCTGCATCAGCTGAGTGCGTACAACGACAACTGTCTGTAATGTCAATATGACAATGTTGGTTGGATGGCAAATTGTTTCTGCCTTTCCTMTGCATCAAATTCATTTAAAAATATGCTTTGAAGCTAAACAAAATCTATAGTAKAAAAGAAATAACTCATTACTGGTTCTTCTTCATTCAATGAAAAAAAACATTTATTTATCAACTACAAGCTTAGCTGTGTGGTTTTCAAATTCATATTCTGCCAACATGCTCAGCCTGTTTTATTCTCTCTGCATGACAAGTACCACACATGCAAATGATCAGAGTACACATAAAACCTTCTGGTGCCAAAACCTCGTTCTTTGATTTCAGATCAGATATCTGGTCACAGATTATCATAAGCCAAACATATATGTGACCCATCATATCAAAATGAGGATTAAGTAAAATGTGGTCAAAATGACCTAATCACATTTTCAGATTCCTGCCTTTAAAAGCTACATTTTGATACCTGGTTCATTCTGATACATAAACAGAACCAGAAATATGCCTTAATTTGTCTTTTTGGTAACGGTAATACATTAATATTTGGTCTGAATCCTGGTTTTATGTTATTTTTATGATGATTTTTTTTTATTTCCTTATGAAGAGGAAATCTCAAATAGTATTTAAATATTGACATTTTTCAGCTGGAAAGAAACAAAAACTTTGCTAGCTCACAGGGAAAATCTCAAATTTTAAAGGCATTTTTTCCTCAAGATCAAGTTTTTTGTTGTTACTGCTCAAAAAAGTGCTTCAAAAAATATTTTTATGATTATATTTCACACATTTCATTCAAATGAAACATTGATAAAGCATTTATTTGTTATATTGTGACGAAATGCAATTTTTGTAAGTGTTTTAATCAAAACACTATATTTGCCTGTTTCTCCTTATACCACTTTTAGACTTAATCGTCGTTTCGATGTGACGAACTATAATGCTTTAAGTTGTGACCATGCTCACTTCTTGCATCCTCTTTCCACCACTTCATTTGTTATTATCAAGGACAGAAATGTCAAATACCTGGCCATGCCCAGGCTGGAGAACCCCGCTGGGACGATGAGAACATCAAGACGGGGAAAGGGGTGAACCCCGAGGACATCATGGGCTGCAGCCAAACATCGGGGCAACAGCTTGAGGACTCCCGCCTGCAACAACAGAAAATGTATCTCTCAAAACAATAAATCAGTAGTCAATTTTACATGTTAGATCTTGTTTGTCATTGGAAGCGGCCAAGATATTCATGCATGCACTCATTTTTTCACACATCTCATGTTGTATTTCATGTTGGGGACAAAGCCAATATGTCAGTAATAAAACCTGTAGAGTCTTGTTACAAACAGGTCCTCAAAATATTTGACAACAAGCCCTTAAGACGCAATCATTGTCAGATTGTGCAGAAATATAACTTGTTTTCTTTAGAGAATTTTAGAGTTTTCTCAAATATGGAAACAGTATAAAATTTTAAGCAGTTTAACGCCAATCTGTTTGCAAAAATTTGTTTATTATCGTTCAGCTGTTTCTTTGCGCTTAACCAGAACATCCAGGCAGAACTGTGAAGTTCCTGCTCGACGCTCAGCCTTTGAACAAAGCCATCGCTCAGTGGAACGCTGCTCCCCATCATGTGAAAATTAATTTTAAAAATAATCTTTAAAAATATCTTAAATCTACCCAATGTTGCAATAATTGAATTGCACTGGGTAATCGATTTTAGAGTTGCTTCTGGTTGTGTGGGTTGGAGGGTGGGCATGATTTAATGTTTGGAGAGTGGGGTGGGGTGTTTTATGTATTTTTTAATTGCAAAATGTTTTATTTTATATTATTTTTTTGTTTTTTCCCCTTCTCTTATTTCCATTTATTGTTGGATGTTGTTTTGTTTTTACTGTTTGATGGTACTACAGATGTAAATTAGCCTTAGGCTAAATCTGGTGCATTACATCAAATTGTTTTAATTGCACACTGTCCCGAACAAATAAAATCATTCATTCATTCATTCATTCAAATACAAAAAAATAAATAAATAAACTATTTCAGGTTTTATCTAAATCCTTATTGATGCACACAGTGTGCTTTGGTCTTCCATGTACATTTCTTAGTCTTCACTCCTGCAGAAACTGAGCCACAGTCAGCTCAGGGGAGACTGAACAAACACAAGTCTTTGATAGATTTCATTCCAGTTTAAACACCTAAAATAACAGAAATGTCCCAAGTGTCCCTGGTGGGAACAGACCAGCATTCTGCTAGGAGATGGCAGCTGAAAACCTCTGGCGTTTTGACACCAGCATTAACCAACACTAACTGTCTCTTCTGATCTCATAAAATCTAATTAGCTGAAGTCTCGGCGGCTCGCTGACAGAACTCCACCTGGGCCTTCTGGAGCAGGCAGACGGGGCTAAACACACGGTGTGGAATCACCCGCTGGGACCGAGCCGACCGCTCAGCAAACCGACACGGGTAGTCGCCATGGGAACAAGAGATGCCGTCATCTGCCATGCTTAAATAATCAGCTCCAGAGAGGTTCTCATCCTCGAGGGAAGAGTGACAAAATGCAGAGTCGACGCTGGTGTTCTGGTCTCCTCTGCAGCAGATAAAAACAAGCAAGAAAAGGTTTAATCAAATATTCCCTTTAAGTGTGAAACGGATGGCAGTGGAAATTTGTAAAATATACAGAACGGAACAAAAAAAATCTAACCACAAACGCTGCAAAAATACTCAAGAGCCGACATTAGTCACTATAATTCAATATTCAGCGCTAACTTCATCCTCATCGTCGCAAGTTTTCCAAAAGGTACAGAGCAACAGCCAAGTTTCCCTGAAAATAAAAGCCTTCCTTGTACAGCAGTCTGAGATTCAACTACAGCTGGGCTGCTGCTGGAGGAAAATCTGGAGTGGAGGAGGGGAATTACTGGAAACCCACTGGCAGATCTGCCAACCTGCTGCCTACTGGAGCCCAACCCTGCCCTGCCCTCCCCACAGGAAACTTGGCCTCTCAAACACACCAACCTGCACTTATTTCCTGTACACTTGTAAAAAATTATGAGATTTTTTGTCTCAGACGGCCAGCAGACATAGTGGACTACGGTGCATAAAAAGTTAATTACGTACTGAACCGCATCCATCACCCTAACTTCAACTGCACTGTTTCTGGTCTGGTGAAGGAAAAGTTTCACCATGGAACGCTGAAGGGCCAGACTCGGGTTAATAGCGGTCTGGAGCAGAGGAGGTCTTATAAGAGGAAAAATATGCAGGGAAATCATTAAAATACCTGCCAGTCTGAAGCTGGGTGCCCTTTAGGACTTCACCAGAGGAGCCTCCGAGTCCTGACTCGGTCAGTTCACCAGAAGTGCATGTGCCAGAGTCTGCCCTGTCTTCACCCTCTTTCTCCAGCACTGGAGGGGTTTCTGCTGTGACCTGGCTCCAGTAGCCCACCGCTAAAGCAAAGGTGGACGCAGGCATGGGCATTGTAACATAAAAACTCCACATTAGGAAATCTGCAGGGGGAAAAAAAGGAAAAAAGGAGGAAAATGCGAAAGTTAAAGAAAATGATTTATGAGAGAATAGGAAACAAGAAAACTGACTCATTTGGTAGTTGCATAGAAAGTCTTTTCTGTCGATCATTACATATTTAAAGTGCCTGTGACATAACTTTTTTGTAATAAACATGAATGCATTTTTGGAACATAACATTGATAACATATTGCAAAACTAATTTCACGTCGCTCAGATGAACGATTGTTGAGATAATGGCATGTGAAGAAACAGGAAGTGATGTCAGAGGGGAATGTCAGCATGTGAACAAAGTGTTGTTAGAAAAGCAAACAACACAGACTGTAGAGCAGAATCTGATGTTTCTTTAGATTATTTTTAGTCGCTATCAAAGAGACGAAGAAGAGTTAAAGTTTAAGTAATTTTGTTTTAATAAACCGAGACCAGCGAGTTTATTTTATTAACGAGTTCCCCTTTGATGTCACTTCCTGTTTCACTTTGGCTGAGTCAAATTTAAAAGGGGCAATATCATGTAAAACCAACCTTTTTGAGTTTTGTATCATGTTATAATGTTATACTCTCATAAAAAACATGCCCAAAGCCTTGCTTTGACTCATTCACGCATGTTTGAGAAATCCTGCAGCGTTTTAGGCAGCCATGCTGAGGAGCAAAACGACAGGTGGGGACCAGAAACGCCTCTGGGACGTGTCTTTAAGCCGAACTTCCTCATCACGGAGCACACCTCCCCACCCCACACACCCCGCCCATGACTCCTGCAGGCTCTCGGCAGTAACAAAGCAAACAAGTAAAAGTGAAACTTAAACTGTCTGCTGAGATCCACTACTTCTCACTCAGTGAAGCTCTATTCAGATTAAAAATATTTACTACTATATTTTTGTTAATAATTTTCAGAGAAGGGTGGGATTAAATAAGTTTTTGACTTCTTCCCATTCCTTTTCAAATATGTTAATTTAGTTAATTTTGTTATCACTTTTTATCATTTTTTGTTTTGTTTTGTATACATG